CCCTGTGCACTGTATATAGAACGTGATAATTCAAGGATCCTTAGACCGCTGCAGTGATGGTATGTCCCTTGGCATCCTCATGCCCTGTACACTGTATATAGAACGTGACAATTCAAGAATCCTTAGAGGGGGTAAGAGGCTCCAGTGACCATTCTAAGAGCCACCCAGCTCCGAGGATCAGGCAAATATAACTTTTTTTTAGCACCAAGAACAAACGAGCACTTAAAGTGACATTAAACCCTCAGATTTTTGAACATAAAACAATACTGTAATGTGCGCCTTACTGTAATCCATGGTTGTTTCCCTTCTCTTTGCTGCTCTTCCTTTTAAATCTGTATCTCTTCTCATGCTGGGCAGAACTTCTGTTTTGCAGCAGACATCCTTATCTCTGGAATGGATACATGGTGTCTGTGTGTAGGTTCACAACCTGAGCCAGCACTACAGGAAGAGGCACTCAGCTGCAAAGGGAAGTTCTCCCCCGGCATGGGAAGACATGAGGATTTAAAAGGAAGAGCAGCAAAGAGAAGGGCAACTACCATGGATTACAGTAAGGCCCACATTACAGTATTGGTTTATGTTAAAAAATCTGAGGATTTAATGTCACTTTAAACCTTGCAGTGCGGGGGTAGCCCCACAACAAGGGTTGAGAATACATTTGCCCGGAGTTCGGCTTTAACATTACATAGAGGGAAGCTAGGCAGGATTTATAAGCAAGTAAAAAACACCCAAAAATGTAAGCAACATGTTTTAATCTTTTTATTACACATTATGCGATGTGAACGGGAACATGTGACAAATATAAAGTAGATGATATGAAAATCTGGCTGCAAAAGTGGAAATACCCTTTTTTTTTCTTGCAGAGGCTGTTAGTATTTTTCCACTGGTGGTCATGTAACTTGACCAGAGGTGTCCAAAATGTTGCATGTGGCTGTATACATGTAACTGAATGTTCTATAAAATAATGATATATTAACTGATTATTATATGTTCTATCTATTTATCTGTTTCCTATATACAGAGACGTGTTTGATGTAAGTAAACGTAAAATGTATGGAAACACCAACACAAAAAACTACAATCCACTATAGAGCAGAGCTCAGACTAGGGGGACAGAGAAGCAGCACAAGGAGCCAAAAGATTGTGCTGCAGTGCTCATGTATAGAAAGGGACATTCTGAACCAGGGGCGGTGAACTCCAGCTGTTGTGGAACTACAAGTCCCATGAGGCATTGCAGTCACAGGCATTGCAGTCACAGGCATGACTCCCAAAGGCAGATGCATGATGGGATTTGCAGTGTAGTTTCACCAGAGCCGGATGTTTAGAGTTGCCACCTTTTCTTCAAGCGAAACCCAAACACACTCTAGCGACGCGCTGACATTTTTTGCGGGGAGAATGAGTCGTGGCTTACTCATATGTAAATATCACAGTTGAAACTATTTTCAGTGGGGGGCCAGTAGCCCCTATCTTAATTTTGGTTGCCCCTGTCTGCCTGACATCTTGTGTCCGGGTTCCTGCTGCCATGAAACCCGGACACAGGATTCAAAACCCGGCCAGTCCGGGTGAATCCTGGACAGGTGGCAACTCTACAGATGTTCCAAATGGAGGAGGGAGCAGAGTGACAGAGAGATGAGTTCAACGGTCTTCTGCTTCTCCTTTTCCTGTCCAGTTATAGGCTGGGGAGGGACAAGACATGTAAGAGCCAGTTTTGTTGCAGTGCTTCCATACTAGTAAGGGAGGTTCTGAAAGGAGGAGAGTGACAGAGAGATGAGCTCATCAGTCTGCTGCTTCTCCCTTTACTGTCCATTCATAAGCTGGGGGAGGGACAAGACCTGTAAGTGTTATCGAACTGTAGCAGAGAAAACTCAGGTCTCCTGCACCACCAGACAGGGCTGTGTTGTGTGGCACAGCTGTGTAAATCTCAGAACTACATGGACAGAAGTACAATTCCTGGCAGGTAAAACATATATATTTCCTCCTTGTATCTAGATGTTGGTCTAGAGTGGACTGTAATATTCATTCTGAATATGTGCTCTGCATAACTACATTCCCTTTATATTCCAGTTCTTTGTTATTGCTCTGTGTGTGAAGTATATAACTAGCACTTAATGTTTGCAGGCTGTAATCTTCATAAGGATTCCAGGAGTTGTCACTGCAGCGCCTGGCCGTCCAGGGCTCTGCTCAGCTCAGAGCGCGGCGATGCTATGCATGGAATGGATAGAGATGCCTGCTGGCTGTCTGAATGATACGACCCAGCGCCGCGCCTGCACAGCCACCTCTAACACTGTCCCTTCCATCCCCAGCCGGGATATGTAAATACTCTGCAGATGTGGGTTTGTTATTGTATGACGTCACAAATTCCTGGGACACTTTCTGTTTCCTCTGCGTTTGCTTCACGCCAGAGGACAATTGCGTAAGCTCAAAATAGGCTAAAATAGAACGACGTCCCTGCCAAAATTAGGGCTTCACGCCGACTGAGAAATGACTTTTATAAGCTTTTTATGGAATTAAACAGATTAGAATATCTGCCCCGGGTCAACATACTTTATTTCGCTCTGAAACAAATGACAACGCCGTGGGAAATACTGCACACTCTGTACTGTGAAATTATAATGTGGGGCTCCATTGCAAGGCGCATGCGTTGGTGTGATGATGTTAAAATGCATTGCAGCGCTTTCTTTTTTTTTTTATTCAAAGCAATTTCATGTGCTGCAGCAATGCGTAACAACTCATTGCACAAAAATGCAACATGTAAAAAAAAATGCACCACAAGTGCAGCTACGCCCGCGCTGCAAGGGTTAAGTGCTTGTTTTTGTGTAGGTTCAAAAATAAAAAAAGTTGTACTCTAACCTAGGGATATACCAATACTAATATCGGGGCCAATATAGAGCATTAATGCCCCGAAACTAAAGGCTGAAATATAGATCTATATATATTAGGGCTGGTAATGATTAAAATGTTCGTGTTCGATTAATCGAATTTTTTTAAATCGATTAATAAAGTCCGGTGATGTCAAGGACATCGACGTCACCGGACTCCTCCCCCTTCCCTTCGTTAGCCGACAGAGCCACTTGGGGAAGGGGGGGGGGAGTCCGGTGACGTCACGGACATCGCCGACAGGACTCCCGGAAGCAGGCGGAGAGGCGAGTGTTTTCATTAGCGATCAAAATAATTTTATTGAACAAAAAGTTTAACGATTAATCGAGAAATTAATCTTTCATTTCCACAGCCCTAATATATATATATATTGCCCTGCAAAGTATTTCTTTACATCTTTGGCCAAACACATAAAGACATCATGTTTCCAAAAATCTCCAACTCAGCTCGGCTTCCCTAAACTTACTGTCCAGTACATGATCACATAAGGGGACAGAGCATTCTCACCCATCCAGCATCCATCTACTTGCTTGGAGAAGGGAGGAGGGAAGAATAGGGGTACGGGAAAAGAAGGTAAAAGGGGGGAGCAGGGGATTGTCTTGCCTTGCTCTCCCTGTGTGTTTGTGGAGACACACACAGCTTACTAGCACACACCAGGGTGGCTCCATAGGACCCTGCAAGGGAAAGGAGCCACCCTCAGGATTTGTTCACACCAAAACGCGTCCCAAGAGCAGAGCAGAGCAGTTACAGACCGGATTAAAACTGCATCTAATGTATTCCAATGGTATTTTGAGCTCGAGTTCACACCGCAGCGTTCAGTTTCAGAGCATGTAAAAAAACTGCAGCAAGCCCTATTTTACATGCTCTGGAACGCATGCAAATGCATCAAAAACGCATGCAAATGCTCTGGAACGCACTGGAAGCCCATTTTAAACTTTAAAAAAAAAAAAACTTTTTCTTAACCAAAAGCAAAAAAACGCAGCAAAAAACGCAGTATAACACACTGCCCTGCGTGTGCAGAAACTCGTGCAGATCTGGTCTGCATTTGGTGTGAACAAGCCATGAAACAGGATATCAGGACCAGTGCTCAGGAGGTCACCTGATTCTGCTGAAAACTAAAATCTTCTAAACATCAAGGAGCAGCCTCCATTGTAAAGGTGGCCATACACTTTACAACCATCGCAAGACTTTTGTCTTGCGATGGTTGTAAAGTAATAAAAAAAACGTACGATCTGCCCATCTTGGACAGGCAGATCGTACTCTCGATCATCGCAAGCCCGCCCCCCTGAGGGGCGGGCTTCCGATGACTGCAATGCTGAACGGACAGTGTGCGCGTGCGCACACCGGCCCGTTCGGCATTTGTCTCCCGAGCACCGTTCTAACCAGCCGAAAATCGTGCGATTTTTGGCTGCTTTTCTAGCGTGCTCCTTAGACAAAAGACGTGCGACCGTACAATAGAAATGGTCGTACGCCTTAGTTCACACTGCTCGATTCTCGTACGATCGTGGGATTTCCCGCGATTCTCGTACAAGAATCGAGCAGTGTATGGACACCTTTAGTGATTTCATCAGCACTTGAAATAGCTCATAAACATTTTGACTTTAATATCACTTTAAGCTTTGTGTAAAGGAACAAGTAAAACTTTGAACAAACTCACAGAAGACATTCTAAAATAATATTGTAAAATAAGGACAGGATGATTTTCTTACAATTAATGGCATCCAGAGTCATAAAAGATTAGAATAGCATTTTGATCGGGCAAAAATGATCTGCTTGTCTTTGCAGTTAGGACTGTTTTGCCTTTTTGTTGGACCAAAACCTTCGGGGCATCTAACTAATTATCATGAAGGATATTGGACTTTGGGCTAGGGTTAAGTTTTTTTAAACCTGGCTCACCTAATGTAACTATACGATGAGGTGCAGATTTCATATTGACAATAGCAGAACCTCAAATAATCTCCATGTTCTATCTATGATCACAATAGCATGATAGTTAGTTACCATTAGTGGGGAGCGATAATACAGAGCGGATTTGAATATATGAAGTCACTTTTCCACAACGTAGTGGAGTAAGTATGATATAAAGCCAAATTAATGAATGAAACAATAGATCTCAGTGCACTTACCACTTTTGGCTTCTGCTCAATGGTCTGAAGAAACGGAGTGCTTTGTTCTGGGGATCTCTCAGGATCGCTGGAGACATCGTCCTCGGACTCGTCCCAGGAGGAGGAAAATCCAGTAGAAGAAGCGGATGAAGAGGATAGTTTTCGGGGAAGAGTTGCCAGGTCCATACAAGGGCTATTGAGGTCCATATTCCCATCAACCTCCTCCCCATGGTCAGTGACTATGACAGCGGGGATGGGAGCGGTCAAAGTGGGTAAGTTAGGCTTGCAGGTGTCCTCTGATGGGGGGGAAGTGCTGTATAGCTTACTGGTGGCCTCCGCTGAAGAGCATGCGTTAAATAGCTGCACAGTATTTGTCACATTGTTAGTTCTACAAACGTCCTTATCGCCAGAAGTCACAAACGACCAAGTGGTCGGAACCACCAACGGAGCTGTTGAAACCGCTAGCGGACTTGTGGGCGATGGCAGCCCTTCTTTTCTGGGCCAAGCGGGTTTTCTTCCCATGTCCTGACCAAAGTTAAACACAGTGTCTTCTCGCCTGCTGTGCCGTAGAGGGGAAGGTGACCGGCTGCCCAGGCGAGGGCTTCTAAGTATTGTGGAGTTTGGACTATTTTTGGCTTGGATGTGAGCTTCAAAAAGTCCGACCACCTGATTCACTTGAACGTTCTGAAGCTCGCGCTGTATCCGTGTTAGGCGCCTTTTCTCCTCGGAGTCAGCATTTGCAGTCCCCGAACTGTTACCCTGTCCGGACCCATACAGTGTCCCCAAACGTGAATCTATCACCGAAACTGCTTCTCCCACATGGCTACCCTGAAGTCGAAGTGGCGACGGGCACCTTCCAACTCTCGGCAACCTAGGTGACTGCCCATCTCTGCCATTCCAACTCGGGCTGCGGCTTCTTGACGTAGTCCGTTCTCCTGGCTCGGGAAAAATGAAAGATGAACCATTGTTCCTAGGGGAGCTCACTGGAGTGGATGGCCCTGGGCTGTAGAGTGGCAGTGGTGGACTGACCAACAGTGGACAATACGTGCTCCGTCTGTCTGGCACGGGCAGCACAGGTCTCTGGCAACTTGGGCTCGTCTTGGTCTCACTGCCCATCTTCCCATTGCTGTTATTCATTATCACCAAGCTATTCAAGGCATAGCAATACATAGCCATAGTCCTTTGATAAGAGGAGCTGGAGAAGACCGAGGCGCCAGGAGCTCACAGCCTGTGATCCCAATGACTTCTTCTCTTCCAGGACAGCGGCATTGCTTGGGAAGGTGTGCAGACGAGAAGTGAGCTGGGCTCCTGCCCAAACCTCCATAAACAAATTAGCTGTAAATGAAAAGAGAGGGAGGGGGGAGAGAGACACACATGTAAATGAGTGAGTATTCGCTCTGGGTTCTGTCTACTTTGACTAAGAGAGAGGTCATTACGAGTTGGCAGTGACAAGGGCGAGAGGAGCTCGTATGATCTCATCCACATGGGAGACCTGTCATTTGCATGGACCTGCCCAGCGCATAATACCTGTGAGGTAAACAATATGCAATGTCAGATAGACGAGAACAGACTTGCAGAAGCATGCCACGAATGTCAGCTTCCCTTTCCGTGCAATAACCTTCCCTGAAACATTTGTATTGCCAAGAATACATTTTCTACCCTCGGTTATCCTATAAAATAGATATAACCCTGACAACATTTACTTTTACTATAGCAATGTGTGTCATAAACAGCTTCCTTTTCCACCTCTTTTATCCTTTGTAGCATCTCAGTGCTGCTGATGTCCTGGAGGCTCTTTGCAGCCACTTCCTGCCTACATGCCCTTCGGCGATGGCTGCATGACATTTCTCAAGGTGGGTTTTCTGATGAGGACAACACTGGACCGTGCCTGTGTAATGTGTGTTTGAAATGGCCAGCTTGGCCCAATGTAAGCAGGGCCATCTTTAACGCAGGGCAAAAAGGGCAGTCGCCCAGGGCCCAATCATTGTTGTGGGGCCCAAAGCAGCTGCCCCTTCAGCCCACATAAGCAGTGGCGGAACTACCATGGCAATAGAATGCTTAGCCCGATCGGGAGCCGCGCTGTGTAATCTGACATTCTGCATTGCTGTAAATATTAGGGTTGCACCGATATATCAGCCGCCAAAAGATATCGGCCGGAAATGGCACTTTTGGCTAAATGCCAAAAGTAAAATTTTTCTGCTGATACAGCACCGCATCCGTGCTTTCTTTCCTCCCCGCTGGGCGCTGCTCTGTGTCCCAGCGGGGAGGAGAGAAAGTGACAGCCGGCCGAGCGCTGCAGGAGGAGAGCGCTGTGTTTTTTTTTTGTGGGGGGGAGGGGGGGCAAAAAAAATCTTGCACCAGGGCCCTTTGTTCCTTAGGTCCACCACTGGTGTTGCCCCCACCTCTTCAGTATGCTGCTGTTAGGGCCGTGGGGGCCCAAGAAATTGTTTGCCCAGGGTCCAATCAGTATTAAAGACGGCCATGAATGTAAGTATGCATCTGTCATACCTGATCAGCCAACAGGGATCCTGGAAAGCACTGTAGGAGCCAGGGCTGCTACAAATGCTGGCCGCGGCCTTCCAGGTCCTGTAGTGTGGTGTCCTGAGTGGCTTTCCCTCTGCTCTGAGAACACAGGGGGTCACTCGCTCGGCGCAGCGGCCATTCAGAGAACATCTAGCCCTCGATGGATACAAGGCGTTCTCTGATTGGACAAGGGAAGGGCCAGAGTGTGACATCACCAGCCCTCTTCCAATTAGAGAACGCCTTGTATTCATTGATTAAAATACCAGGTGTTCTCTAAATGGCCTCTGTGCCGAGCGAGCGACCATCTGTGTTTTTTTCAGAGCACAGCAGCATATAGGACGCAGAAGATCGCAACCAGCAATGTCGTGGCCACAGATAGTACAGTGCTTCACAGGATCCCCGTGAGCTGATCTGATATGACATGTAGATACCAACATTGGGCCACTCTGGACTGATACAAGTATGCATAAAATGTTAAACCTAGAGTTCAGCTTTAAAGAACAAATGAGTAATTAACCCTTGCAATGGGTCTCCCCTGCACTGTAAAGGTTAAGTGCGTTAAAATAAAATGTATATATACTCACCTGATCCTGCTAGACCGGTCCTTGCAGCCTCTCTCTCTCTCACCCTCCGCTCCAGGTGTGGTATGTCTTTCGGGGGTCCTTATGTCTAATACACATTATTAGTTGTGATGACTCATCGGCCATAAGACCGCTGGAGCAGAGGGGGAAAGAGGCTGCGGGGGACTGGTCTAGCAGCCATACATAGAAATTTCAGTAGCTGTTGGCATTTCAATATATTGCTGATGTTTGCGGCACCATCCGCAGGCACTGCGAGCACCCGCCCCATTACAAGGGAGTGCAACAAGTAACAATGTTTTTTGGTCTAGCAGCCAGACAGGATCGAGGATCAGGTGAGTAAACCTTTGGCTGTGGTGAAACTACAAATGCATCAGTCTCTGGGAGTGTGGCTGTGAGAATCTTACAATGCCTCATGAGACTAGTAGTTCTATAGCAGCTGGAGGGTCGGAGTTTGCCCGCCCCTGCACCAAAGGGGCGGGAAAACTTCCCAGCCAGCAATGGAATCCCTTTAATTATCTCTGTTTTCACTTTAACATCCCACCGTCACACAGCGTCACGAAAAAACCTCCTTGGGTGCCACTTCAGGCATCGCTCTACTTCCTGTTTTGTAGGGGTGAGAAAGGAAACTCGAACTTTTGTACTTCCCCTCTACAGCAGAATAAATGTTGTGATGGAAGGAAAAAAAAAAATGTTAAATCTTATTTGTGTGTACAAAGACGTTTCCTGAATGTGAAGAATGAAACGTTTACTTAGAGCGGAGCGCGGATCAGCGGCACCCAGTTTTAGAAAATGTTATGTAAATTATATCCAAATCCCTTTTTTTTTCCATTCTCTTTTGGATGGTGTGGGAGGTTTGTGTGGGAAATGCGGACGTTCAGACACATCCGAATCCCAATGCATCCGAATTTGTCCGAATCCGAATTTCCGTTTCCAAATTTCGGATCCCGTCCAAACTTCGTTCAAAAACAAAACTGAATATATAAGTGATTTGCAATAATATATGTCTATATGTAAAGTAACAATGATGTTTTATATTTCTTCTATGGAAATGTGTACTAATACATATATGTGAAATAATTTATATATGTGAAATAATAATAGAAATTATATTAAACAAAAAAAAACTAAACTGAATCAGACTTTTCTGGCCAATCAGATGTGTTTTTCGGTTTAATGCATCCGAATTTTCGTTACGGCAACATGGGAGCCATCTGATTGGCCAGAAAAGTCACATGCCGTAACTAAAATTCCTGTTCAGTATCTTCCTAGACCCGAATGGCATTCGGGATCTGAATTTCTGAATTGCATTGGGGAGCTCCTGAATGCCATTCGGGTCTTGGAGCCTCAGCTTTACTAATATATGTATATGGCTCCCAGGCCCGAGTGGCATTCAGGAGCTCCCCAATGCAATTCAGAAGTTTGGATCCAGAATGCCATTCGGGTCTGGGTGCCTCAGCTTTAGTATTAATATCTGTACACGGTTTTCTGTGGTATTTGCAGCGAATATTCGTAAACTCCTCCAAAACTAACGAAAATTTGGATTTCATCTGAATCAGAAACCCGAATCGAATTGAATTTTGCATGCGAATCCCAAATTCCGAAAAAACGAAATATCCGGACCGAATTTTTGTCTAGTATCTGGTACGGAAAGTGCTTGTAAATCCAAAATTTTGGAGTTGTCACAGAAATAGGACACAAGCGAAAATCTCTCAGTGGGGACACCTGTTTTGGTCCCTCCAGAATGACCCCTCCCTTCAAGTGATTTTGCAAGACTCCGACCAAGAGCCAACTTACTGCTTGCATCAGGGCTGAGGGCTCCCGAGAGGAGTACAGGGTGATGTACATAGCTTCCTGATAACATCACAGCACCCTGCCTGCATCTGCCTGCACTGCATAGAGGAGCTGAGAGACCCAAAGGTATAGGAAAGGTATTTAGTGAAAATGGAAAGTTTTTATTTAAAAGTGTCATTAGCATGTTGAATGGGGAAAGGGAGGAACCAGGGTAGCAAATACAACCGCCTGCCGCCCAAAATGCTCCCTGAGCCTTTTCTTCAGCACTGATCAGCGTGGGTTCCATACAGATTTACATAGAAACGTGCTGATCAGCGCTTTTTGGGTGTTTTTAATGGGGTTTCAGTGCTGAAACGCCAATAAAAACGCCCCAGAACCACCCTTTTAAATTTCGCACGGAATCCGCCCTGAAATGCATCCGCCCTGGTGTGAATGGGGCAAGGCAAGACTCCTCCCCCCTCCCTTCTCCAAGCTAGTAGATGGACAGCTACTGGAGACTGCTCTGTCCTTTGCGATCTTGTACAGGCCAGGAAGTTCAGGGAAACAGAGCTGAGAGAGTTGGAGTTGTTTGGACATATGATGACTGTAAGTGTTTTAAAGAAATGTAATTAGATACTTTGCTGGGAAATGTATATTTGTTTGATCTGAATTAATTATTGGAAAAAAGATTGAGAGTCTAAAACCCACTTTAAATGCTGGTTTTGGTCTGGGGTACCTTTCATCGCAGTTTTACTTACCTTACCCCTCGCTCCTGCAGGCTTCCTCCTCTCCGTGTGACCCCCTGAAGTTGCTTTCCTTCATCCCATACAATGCAGGACCCGCGATGACACCGAGGGCCCGCCCACAAAGCCGGAGGGGAAAGGAGAGCGGCGGCTCCCTGGATAAGGGAAGTAAAGCTGAATATAAAGGTACCCTAGGCAAAAAAAAGTGCGTTTAACCCTTACAGTGCCACTGCAAAGGTGGTTATGAGATTTCCCCGGAGTTCAGCTTTACAGGATAAATAGAAATAAAAATCAAGTTGTCTGATATGTTAAAAAAGGTCGATTTGAAGCAGCGTTTACACCTCACGCTTGGCTCCAGCTCCTGCCGAGACGCAGCTTCGGTGGCAGGTGATTCCTCACCGCGTGGCATCTGTGTTTGTGCTGCACAGAGCCGTCCGCAGCTGGGAAGCACTTGGGAAATCCCCGGCTGCTGGCACCGGACTGATAAACACAAAACCTCAAATACTACCAGCAGCCTTCAATGGGCCCATGACTAAAATAGCTGCGAGGACACGACTGCGAGCGTCAGATAAGAAGTCCGAAGTGAGAAACCCTCCAACGGGGCGAGAGATGACAGCTCAACACAGATGTTTACAAGTATGTGAGATGAAGGCCCCGTGCACACTGGTGCAGCACGTGAACACGGTTTTGTGAACAGACATGTGGCGCACTGACAGTGGTCCCCAGTCATCAGGCTGCTCATTGTAACAAGTCACAAGGTGAGAGACTGCAGCAGGGGCTGAT